GGGACCCCCTCTTACTCCTCCCTCCCTGTATCCCTCCTGCAGCCTCCCAGTGCCGAGCTTTTCCACTATGACAGCACGAATGCCGTCAACTGGGGGATGCGAGGTAAGGCACCGCGGGGCTGGGGAGCAGCACGGGCAGGGGACCCTGTAGGCACGGAGCCAGATGCCGTGGGGCTGCCTACCCCACCACAGGCAGCTCTGGAAAATGAGGTCCAGACTAGATGGAGAAGGGGGGAGATAGACGGGGGTCCCCGCAGCCCCCGGGGAGGATCCTGGAAGCGGAGGCATCAGTGTGGCTCATGTCTCCTGTCTTTTCTCTCTCCCCGCAGAGTACAAGGTAAGATGCTCCCATTCCAAGGAGCAGCCGCCAGCCGGAGGTGCGAGAACCACCCAGAGGGAGTCCCAGACACATGTCCGTGTGTCCCCAGGCCCTTCAGGAGGAAGCTCTGCCCTCTGCCCACACTACCTTCATCCCCCTGCATCCCCCACCTGACAGCCCCATCCCGCGACTGTGGGACTCGGACCAGAGTCCTTCCCCTCCTGCCAGGGTCCCAAGCAGTTGGCCGAGCAGAAGTGTCTCCTGGGTGAGGAACAGAGAAGGGTGGTTGTGCTAGTGGTTCCCTACTCACACTTGTCCCTGGATTGCTTTTGGTTTCACAGAGGGAGCAGACTATTCCAGAGCCACCAATGTGATTCAAGGTGGATTAGGGTCATCCTGAGAGCACCCCCCTCTGCCTTGTCCTGTCCAAGCCCTGAAGGCAGCTGTGCCACCCAAACCCTGCTAAATATGGCAGGAGGAGGCTTTGCCCTGGTGGCCCCCCCAGCCTCATTCCCAGGTGTGCCCCAACTGTCCTCTTCTGGCTTCGGAGCTACCCCATGGTCTTCTGTCCCTGTGCAGATATACCCCTACGAACTGCTCCTGGTGAAGACAAGGGGGAGGAACCAGCTGCCCAAAGATGTGGACAGGACTCGGTTAGAGGTGAGGAGAGCCTTTTCCACCAGGGACAATCTCCTCGGGGCTCAGAGGGACCCGATCCCACAGGGTGTCCCCTTAGCCCCGGCAGGCAGCGTGGGGCTGCAAGGGGCTCATGGATGTTTGAGGAGCATCTCCACAGCTCCCCAGGAGCACACATGTGCCAGCATACTGTCACGGTGGTCTTGCTGCTCCACTGGCCAGGCAGAGCTGTTCCCCATGCCCACAGCATGAGTGCGTTCAGCA